GACAGCGCCATGCAACGTAAAGTTGTTGTTGTTATAGCAGAGGGCAGTGCAGAAAAATACATTGTTGGTCTGTACCTCTACACTTTGACATGTATGCTCCCTGCCTTGACCAACTTGGCGAAGTATGGTTTAAATAACGACCCATGGCCCACACAGCGTGAGGGGGCCCTCATCCAGCAGTGGACTGCCAAACGGACAGTGCAATAAGGAACAATTTCTAAACCAAAAATGGTTTTGAGATGTCAGATTATCGGATAAAAAAAGATATGTGTTTGGCATTTTCATATTTACATTCTGTAATAACGTAACGCATCCTCCTCCGAAGAAATGTGACCTTACCCAATGCCATTTGGAAGCATGGCAATGATGTCATGTAAGTGACACCATAATATCCTATGACATCATAAGTTTATATCAAGCCGAGAAAAAAATATATATTTAGATCAGTGTATATCTAGACCCAATTACCAAATTGTTCAGATTAATCTGAAAATTGGGAACAGATCCCTCACGTGAAGCAGTCTCCATACCTTTCCTACAGGAGCCTTCCTCCTCTCTTCCTTCATGCTCGCGATACCAAGTGGAGTGACAGCACTGGAATTTGGGGGAAGAGTTTTGCGGTTTGAATGAATGACCCATGCCTTTGAGCCACAGTGTCATTGAATTCTCTGCATGTGGGATTATTCTAAAAGCCACGAGCATGAAATTAGCTACTACGCTTTGTCCCCGAGCCACCAGACTTGAGAATTCCAGATGTGGGCAGTGCCAGGCTTATAGGCGGCGGGGGGGGGCAGGGTGGTTTGTTTTACGATAAGATTTTGCTGTCACCCAGCCACTCACTCATTCCCCGGGTCACTCAGTCTCCCAAGTGACCAAACACTCAGCGAGGCTCAGCTGTTGTGGACTCTCGCGAGTGCGACAATTTTGCCCTCCCCTCGATTTGATCGTTGCGATTCAATTCCCCTTAATTGTATTTATTTATTTTGGAACGTCGGTGGTTGGCTACGTCCGGTGGGAAAGAAGCTGAACGTACGTACGTACCATAAATGCCAGTTGGAGCGGTCACAAAAACACACTGACTTTCAACATACCGGACACAGTCTGTCCACTGCTGGACGAAGGCCTCCCAAAGCCATCGTCATTTTTTCACTTTCCTGTAGATGAGCCGATTTTTGTACCGTTCAGTTTTTGTGACAATTTGTTGTTGCTGCCAACGAAAACCGTTCATAATTGATTCTAACACATGCGGTTTGATACACTGTCAAACATATATAGAGCGAGCTTAAGAATCGATATTCATCGATGCATTGCTCTGCACCTGCTGGACACCGCAGTAGCTAACCTAGGCTTAGTAGAACTCGCTGAATGGAGACTGCAGGAACGGAACGTGAAGCATTCGTATTTTCCTCGCACGCTTTTGAAAATTTAAATAAAAAAAACGGCAATAAATTTGGTATGCGAGTCAAGTAGCAGAGAAATGAATCACGGTCTTTTTTGCGTCAGCCACAGTTTAAGTTCACATTGCCTCCGGTCATATCCACACAATGTATTGTATATGGATGTTCACCAATTACGGCCGGGCATTTTATGTTTGTCAGGACACTGCCGTGCTCGCAATTGTAATTGGTGACATTTTACAAAAAGCCTCATCAAGAATCCGTTCCATAAGAGACCAATTTCACGCGAGTTTTCCCCTTCGAAAACCGACGACCACCCGGCCGACCGACCGGCCAACTCTAATGCCCCATTTTTATTTTATTTTTTGGCGAAGGCGCAATCGTGCGTAAAACATTCGCGGGGGGGGAACGTATGCGAGCACGCCGTTGTCATAACATCGCCCCCGGAATTCAGAACGAGATTGTGGGCCGTAATGTGGCATTAAAAAGGCAGCAATGCACGCAGAATAATGCACGCCAATTTCTCTGCGAGCGTCGACCTCTAATTGCGCACATTCTTTCATTCAATTTTGTTTAGTAAATTCTCCAGTTTCGGCCAACGCAACCCTCCACCCCCCCCCCTTCCCCCCACCACCTCCTGCATAGCCTCGTAGACCCCCATAGGCTTGGACGTCCCTCTTTGTGGCAGGGCCCGCTTGGTTCACCTGAAATCATTCTGGCGTGGCAATTACGACTTCTTTGCCCCGAGTTGTGAAATTCAATTCCCTTAGCTGCCACCGGCAGCTCTCCAGAGAGCATTTAATACCCGAAAAATTCTGCACACGCCAAAGGCCAAAAAATCCTTGGCACAATCATCATCTCCATCTTTCTTCTTAACCCCGTCTTTGGTAACATTTTTCTGCAACAATTGTTGCGAAATTGATGGTTAATTCCGTGCTGTCTCTTTCCTGACGTGCACCCCAGAGCGGGTTTCATACCGCCGATGATATAAAATTATGTTACGCGATTTTTGCGGGATGCGAAATAGGCCGGCGATGCTCACGATGCTCTACGATACACGCGAGCCTGCTGATGCGGTGCTTTCTTATGTACACCTCATGCTGTGTATGTACAAATGCACGTGCTCGTGCGTATAAAAAAAAAGACTGCGTCTTCACGAACCCGGCGTGGACGTGAAGTGGTTAAGGATCGGACCTCTGACCCCACGAGCATCCCGTGTGCCCCCACTCTGAACCAGGAGATTACAAAGGCAGATGGGGATACAATGCTCGAGTTCATTCATCAGTTTGTCGAGTGCCAAGCCCCTACCTTATTTTATAATGGATCGGAGCGCATAGTACCGAGTGTTGGGGTGTGTTGCCAATGGTGAACATGTGCGGCATGTTATTCTCCCCTAAAAGCGTGTGATTTTACAACGAGAACGTGCACACAACGGCAATAGATTTGGGGAAAAAAAATTACACACACCCCAATACCCCACGTAAACATGTACACGAACAATCGCGTTTAAAATTTTTTTCACTTTGTAGGTTTATCGTGTAACGTGGGGGGAGGGGGGGGGGGCAGTGGCGGTGGCGCTAAACTGTCGACGTCGAGTTGCATACCCGGACCGCGGTGAACGTCAGTGGCGAGCGGCGTCTGTACAATTCTGGGGTGCTCCCTTCACCGACCCGCACTCACCGTCGTTGGTGAGGTGTGTGTGTGTGGTTTAGTGTGGCTGATTCCCCCATGCCCGAACTAAAATGAGGTGGCCTTGAGATCCAGCAGTGAATTGAGAAAGGGCTGTTGTTATTATTCACCATTAGCAGCCGTGATCTAGCGACTGCTGGGTGAAGGCCTCCCCATATCGGTATATATATATAGTTTTCGTTTTTTTTATATATGTAATCGCTCCGAGTAAAATGTTTAGTGCTTCTTGACAGTTGGAGCGAGGTCTCTTAGCCCCTATTGAGGCACATAATGTCTTCAGCAAAAAAGAGCATAAATACCCACTCTTTACCCTCCCATATAATAACACACACACACATCGACCAATCACCCCACCGCTTGGGCACCCATTACTTTCCCTTCAACTAGAGGGGGCATTCTTTTTTTTGACACGGGGACGCAGGGGGGGGGGGGTGGGGGGATATAGGTGAACGGGAACACCTGAGCAAGGGTTAACAAACCATCTCAGCCCGGAACGCGACACCGCTGGATTGTATAAAGTCCAATCCGCCAGCATCGACACCACAGCACAGATGTAACCCTCAGGAAATTCTCGGAACGTTTCTTTTGCGCGGTTCCATCTTAAAAAACAAAAAAAAAGAAGCCTCTGCCCTCAAGACTTCACTTAGCAAATCGCTTCCCTTTGGCTTGTGCACAGAAACAAATCTGCATCGAAGCGCTTGTAGATAAAAGCCCGGCTTAAAATAACAACGTAATTACAAATTTACACAAGCCACAGAAATAAAGACTGCCGGTCACGGAGCAAGGGTTGGGGGTGGAGGGGTCGCATGGCGCTAGCATGTTGGTCAGCGGGGATATTGACACGCCGGTGAGCACGGCAGTGGTGACTCGGCGGGTTGGGAGGGGTGAGCGCAATTAGGGTAATTAGCATGTCTGCGATGGTTTGATGGCTGAAAGCAGGAAATCAGGTTAATCTCTTGCAGCTTTTGTAAAAAAAAAGAGAAAATCGGCGTCGCCGGATCAGGTGACAAAATGTTTTCAGATTGTTTGCTTTCCGAGCGGTTGCTACGCGAGTTGAACGCGGGGTGGCACGAGGACTCACGTGCTCCGGGCATCGCTCCCACGCGCGGCCGTTACTGTCACCCCCCGTGGACTCAGCACTCCCCACGACTTATCTGCTAATGTTTGGAAATTACACGGAGCCATATTCCGCGCATAAAGAGCTAAATTGCCGAGCCCTGTGTGTGTGCGCGCGTTCGCGCACGCGAGAACGCGAGAACGCGTTTTTTTTTTCTTTTACAAAGCCGCCTGCCGCCTCGTCAGTTGTTCGCGGTTGCGCTGCGCGGCTCTCCGATGCGTTTTCGGGTTGCGCCGCCCGCGCGTCGTTCTGCAAATGAATGACGACCGAAGTTTTCGCTCCACGTGCCGGGAAACGAATTCGGCGGCCGAAGAAGCCGCCCCGCGGAGCGAAAGGCCAGCCCGATGCGGCTCCTCACGGACGGTGTCGGCGGGTTGTCCGACAGTTAGTTCCACGTGCCTGGGACAGTGGAACAAAACGTCGGACATCGCGGCCAACAACTCACGGCGGCACGAGCCGAGAACGCATCGGACAGCCTAGGAGGGGCTGCCGTTTGTAAAATAAATGTGCGTGCGACAACACAATGTGAGCTATTTTGAAACGATGGATTTCATTCCTCCCAGGTACTGTGGGTTTTATTAATGAAATGTAAAATGAGGGGGGGGGGGGGAAGAGGAGGGCAGGGGAACGTTGTCATGACAAAGAACATTGTGAGCTTTTGAAAGCCTTGGATTGCTAACTTGAGTCTTGAGTCCGACAATTTAGTGCCCTGCTTGTGTGCGTGCAGCGCTTGCGTGTTGAGCGTTGGTGTAGCGCTTAGCAAGCTGCGCTCTTTATCTTTGCCTGTGTCTTTGGAGCACTTGACCCCAACTGTCTGCGTGAAGCATGGCTGCTCGCCGATCACGCACACACGAAGGCACGAAGACACGCACGCACGAAGACACGCACGCGCGCGGCCCTGCTTTGTGACCTCATTTTCCGCCATTAATACACATCCCGGCCTCTCTGCTGGTGACTTAATCTGGAATGTCCCGTTCGCTCAACTGCAGCGTCCCACGCTCGCCGCGCAAGGCAAAGGGCAGCGGGGCTTGGCGTGGCGTGGCGTGGCAGATGTACGGTCGGTCGGGGCCCAGGTCCCACAGAATCCGGAGCGAGGCTGACATCTACTGACGGCAGAATTCCGGCGGCTCTCTCTCTCCTCTCTCTCTCTCTCGCTGGGCGGTTTGAAATAAGTAAAGAAACCGACGCGTGGACCGGACACAAAGGGTCCGCGAACTCGATGGTTCCCACGTAAAAGTGACGCGTTAAAATCGTCCCGTAAAACATAGATTATTATTAATCTCTTACGATTATATGAAAAATTTAAGTTTAATTGTTAAAGGGCTCGTGCTCTGTAAGGAGTTTTGAAATAAACTAATATATCACTTTGTTTGTTTGTTCTCCGATTTATGTTTTGGTATTCTCGTCCTGTGGATTCACTCCTCAGTCTGGCGTCTATTTATATATCCTATACAGAATTATATAATATGTACCCTAGGATTTGAGTATAACTAAGTGTGTTTGTGTTATTGCACGTGCATGCATTCAAGCACATGCACCTTTGGTTTTGGTGTCGCAAAATTTGCAAAATACACGTCAACTTCCAAATCAGTTGTGTGAATACCAAGTCATTCCATATCACTGAAGTGCAGATAGACGCAAATATATAAATGCACAACCGCGTGTGTTCTGAGTGTGTGTGTGTGGCTGCATAGACATATAGAAAAATATAAATTACTCGCAAGCAATTCACATTTGACAGAAGAGCTCTTTCTGCTTGTGATATATGGGACCAATTATGGTTTTACCAGCCCCCTATGTACACAGATTAATTGCTAATTGCCAACAGCTGTTATATTGACAGTTCATATAACCGCGGGTAGGCTAATAAAGCTGAGCAGATCACGTTGTTATGCCTGCCACACTGAACAATTAGACAATGCATTGTATTTGTAACCCATTCCTAGCCTTTGCTTAATCAACTTCATTAAACCTGATGACGATTTAAATGAGCCACAGCAATGAGCTCCCCCATGAAATTCATACCCAGCGATCTGTTACTCATAATACTAATGTACAACCCTTGTCAATCCCTTGCTCCTATGCCCATTCAACAAATTGAACTGCCACCATCCTATTTCATTTATTGGTGGTGATATCCAATTTAGTTTAATATCGGCGTTCGGCAACAATGCAATTGTCTGCAACTGCTTTAAAAGCGGTTTGTGGAACTGAACTACGTAAAGTAAAAGTCATTGAGTGAGCGAGAGCATCTCTCCTCAACACGAGCACATCTGTTGCCGTGATCCGCCTCGTCCAAAGTTATTCACAATCTACTGCTGGATGACAGCATCGTCCTTTCGGTCAACATGTTGATTGGCGCAGGGTGGTGAAGTGGGGAGCCCAGGACCGGTTCAGACAAAACTTCGCCAGGAATGTCAGCCTGTCGCCGGGAATTAAACTCAAGTCGCCAGGTTCATAGTGCAGGGCGCTAAACACTGCATCATCGCTCCGTATTAATGCAACGCGATACATAAGTGCCGTGTGTTTATTGACAATTCAAAAAATTACTAAAAAAAATCTGGAAATGTATTGCTGTGGATCTCTGAATAATAACAAGTCGTAGTTTATATTGTCCTACTGGAATGTAGACAAGTCTGGGATATATATATTTTTTAATTTCTGATCGCCAAGTGGCGCGCGTGTGTTTGTGTTGTTGTTGTTGTAATGACTCTTGCAGTCGTCACGCAATCCTAAAGCCATTGCGAGGTGAACTTTTCACCCTCAACCCCGAAGGAACAAATCAGAGGGAGGAAAGAGAAAAAAAATACACACATTCATCTTACAGAATCGACCACTGGTGTTTAGCACACGGACAACTTTCACAAAACTTCAACAAAACCCATCGCCGCGATCGGAGACTGCGATAGTCTCCGCCTCTCGTAACAACAAAGCCTACGCAATCTTCGAAAACATTTCCGCGGAATCCCGCAGAAATTCCAATAAGATCTTTTAAGGGTTCCCCCGAGGCACTGCTGGGATTTGTTTCAATGTCCTGCGGAATCCCCCGTAGGATTTGCTTAAATAGGATGTCCTCGCGGACACCTTTAGAGGTTATGAGTGCATTCCCGGCGAATGCTGTAAAACAGTTGATGCCACACGGGAGCGTGTCGGGCGCACGATGCGGGGATTAGGCGTTTAATGCTTTCTCCACATCCAGCTCACGGGCAGTGCATAGATAGGTTTACGGTGGTCATTTGCACGCCTCCGATGCAGGGACGGCTGTAATGGATTGCCGTGGATTTAGGATGATGGCGGTGCATGCCCTCGGCTGTGGTCATCCGGCGCAAAACCGATAAATGTGTGCGGCACACACCTCACACGCCTCACGCACGCGTCCACACACGCACGCACGCGTCCACACACGCACATGTATGCACGCGCGCACATGCCGAGATTTTACATATAAAGGCTATCTGATCCCATTCGGCTTGTATGAAGATGCATTACTCGCAAATTGCACAGTTTCAGGGTGTGCCGTGTGAACATTTTTTTGAAAGACCTTTTGCAAGGAACGGCTTCTTTGCTTTTTTTTCTCTCACGATGTGCTGCTGCTTTATTGTAAATGTTTTAAGGGCGAATAAACCGATTGCCTTCATGTCTTGTGTTTGGAGCCATTTATAGCTTCAGTATCAATGTAACAGTCGTCCGTTTCAACGTAAAACACATTTGGCTCCAATGTGAAGTCAAATGCTGGAACAATGATATACAAGATCTCTGTCGATCCACTGCCGGACGAAGGACTTGCCGCGTGCCACGTGGGTCACGGGAGTCGCTTGCCCACGTGTCACCACGGCTGGGTGAGGAAGAGGCAAGGCCCAGGACCGGTTCAGATATCGCTCGCCACTGGTGCTACCCCAGGGCTGCTCAGATCAGCGCACTTCGTAGCGTGCGGCACGCTTGCGGCTGCGCCACCACGCCGCCAAAGTCGCGTCGTGTTATTTGAGAAACAAAACAAATGTGGCCACGTTCTGTCTTCAAACAAGAATATATTCATACCACGAAAACGCAGTACGTACATACAGTTCAGAAAATTATTTTTCTTTTAGCAACATAACATGACAGTGGATATTCTGTAAGAGCAAATACATTCATGGGCTTTGCCTAAAAGCTACGGCACTATTCCTTATTAATGCAGTTTGCGCTTAGGCTGTAAGCGAGTGTGATTACTGGTGAAAATTAATCTAAGCAACTAATTGGCCACAACTGACCTGGCTGACTAAATTATACAGCCCTACCCACCGCACACCGCCCCTGCCGCTCTCTCTGTATTGTTTTTGTTAATACAGAATGATTGCATTTTAAACGAGTGCATTATTTGAAATTCATCTCTCTTTGTGAAATCAAAGGGCTCTAACGGGATAAAAGTTGTGTTAAATGACTGACTTGGGCCGAGGACAGAAAAAAAACCCTCAGGATCATAGGAGCATGGAAATTGTAATTTCAGAGCTGTTTATTTTATGTGAAACATTTCAACTTCAAAAAAATCCCACTTTAGAAACTTTCCTTTCGCACTAATGATGTGTGATGTGTTTAATGTATATATATATTTTTTAAAACGTACATTACATTGATTAGGCGTCAAATGTTAAGTAAACACTGCAGGCCCTCAAAAGCCTTAACGGCAAATCAAATAGGATCGGAATTAATTCGGCAATTCCTTTGAACACGCAGCATGTATTATGTAATTAGCGTACTGTGAGCAAAAGAGGGTAATTTTATATATTTAAAAAAAATCCTCTGTTCGCTTGCCATATGATTTGTGGTCAACAGCCCTTCACATCGTGTTCTTATGAGTTTGTGGCCAAATTGAACAAACATAAAATAAAACATCATGGTGTTAATGAAAAGCCGTTGCAGCTCAATCAAATCCACTTAAACTCACTCGGGATTCACGCGAGGATTGCCTTTGCATCTCATTGGCACAAAAGGATTAATAATTATTCCCGAGGTTCGCGCATGTGACGCTTCAGTCTCTTACTTTGGAAAGACACCAATTAAGCCAACCGAAAATTAAAAACAATCCCGAACAAGCCAGAGTGAGACAAAGGGAAATAAGTAAAAAAAACACGCACAATTGGAGAGTATTAAAAAAAAATGCCATCAGGATAATTTGGTTTGAAAACATTTATAGAATTCAGGTGCACGGATTGACTTTGAAGCTCAAAAGAACAGATCCCACACACAGGGCTGGCGAAAAAAAAATAGAGAGAGAAAAAAAATCCTCCCCTTCCTCCAGATTCACAGATCTCAATTCTCTACAGATCTGCCATGCAAAACGCGTTGGCCGTTCGCCTTGAGCTTTCGCAGAGGCTTGTTTGAGTTGATTTTAATTCATTCAACTTTTGTCCCTGCGTATCTCTGCGCTTCTCCGCTCGCACCCATTGCCGCTACACGCTGGCTACTACCTGGCCTTATAGCGTACTCCGGTGCGCACGGACGGCCTGCGGGACAAACACGGTCACGGCATCGCGCGGCGCTTTCAGATGCGCTTCTGCGGCCGTCTGGAATGCTCTTCCTTCCGGTGTTAGGAAGCCACTGGAGCTATGCACTTTTAAATAATCTCTATTTGACAAACTCATTTCTTGAGAACTGCTTCTTGTGTTTCGTTTGTCGTCCTTCTCCCGCACCTCCAATTAGCACGGTTGCCTACGTACGGTGCAATAGAAGTTCAACGTACGTACAAGAGTTACGGGGAACCAGGGCGGTCAGAGTGCAGGGAGATGAGGAGACAGAGCGGAGCTTTGTGCAGGTTGAACACGCAGTATTGTTATTATATTGCACTGTCATATGCTCTTGACGTGCAGGGTAGGCAACATTTTTTGTAGTGAAATAATGAAAACGTTGCCGTACGTATCACTGTATTCGCAGTCGACTCTACATTTCATTTGAAGAGCGTAACAAATACGAAGGTTCGCCCTGTATAGCCTATCTAAGGCTGTTGGGGCGAGTGCCGCTGGTGAGCTCCTAGAACGGCCGGCCACCTTTGTCTTCCCAATGCGGACGTGCACACACTGCACAGGCACTCGTTGAAGGCTGAGTCGACCTTGGGGAGACTCGGGATCAATTCAGATAATCGCCACTGATGTTAGCCACTGCGAGGGAATGATCCTAGGTGATACAAAGACAAATATCCCCCCTATAGCCATAACAGACTTTTGAGGTAAGTGCTGTTAGCGAGTCGCACCGGTGAAGGCCAGCACGGCACACGAAGGGGTGGGTGGCAGGCACCACGCATGACCGCCTTTGTCTCCCAAGTAGCCATGTTTACACACCGCACCAGGCATTCGTTTGAGGCCGAGTCGACCTCGGGGAGGCCCAGGACCGGTTCAGATAATCGTCCCTGGTGCGCTGGTAGCCGTTAAGCGGGAATCGAACTTGGGTGGCTGGGATGCGAGCGAGCTCACCGCTACACCCACAACTTGCCCTAAGAAAGCAAAAGTGGCAAACACAGGCTGCTTGTCGACTAAAGATAGATACTCACGCGCACAATGTGTCCGGTGACCCTGTGAGTAAACTTAAAGAGACAACCACGCGCGCCACCGCCATTGATTTTCAGTCGTCAAAAAACTTGCAGCTTTCTTTCACGAAACGCTGCACTGTTGTTGTTGTTGTTAGCGACATGCGACGAGAGGCGAGATCGCATTGTTCGCTTTATTTGTCCGGGGCCACTCGGTTTTCCACGCCGGGATGCTTGGCCGTGAAAAAACAAAAATAAGAAAAAACGTTAACGTCAAAAAACCATAGGTGAGCCGGGCAATTGTCACCGTGCGTCCGTGAATGTCATTGTTTGCGCTGGAGCCCTTAGTGCTCACGGGGTGAGAGGGCCATGAATAGGCCTCTTGTACAAACTCGGCGAGCACAGATGCCCCCCCCCCCCCCCCGGTGACCTGGCTTGCTCGTGTACGCCCGTCCATAATAGCCGCGCGATGCGTATGAATGAAAACCATATTGGCCTAAACTTTTACAAAATCTAACTCGCAGCGTTTGATTGCTTTCTTTTTGGTCAACGCAAGGGGTCCCCTTTGTCACGGTGTGTCGCTACAATTCTCCCTTACGGACAAAAAAAAATACCCCATTGTTAACGCCGCGCAATGCGAATACATGTTTACACATACACGCTATATTAAAGAATGTAAATAATAAGACACGCGTGCATACATACACAACAAAGAACCCCTCGATAGCCTTAACGGACTGTTGGAGCAATTGCTGTTAGCAAGCACCTTTGAAGGCCGGCAAGGCACACGATGGGGTGGGTGGTCACCACCATGCCCGGCCGCCTTTGTTTCCCCATTGCCAATGTTTACACATCGCACCAGGTACTAATTTCAGGCTAAGTCGACTTAGGGGAGGCCCAGCACCGGTTCAGGTAATTGTGTCTGGTGTTGGCCGTTAGCGGGAACTGAACTCGCTACACTACTGCTCCCCATTATACACACACGCACACACTACGTCAAAGCATGTAAATGCATATACACACGCGTATACGTGAAAATGCACACATGCACGTGTGAGGTTGCGGAATGCAAACGTACACACTGCTGCTGATGCTGAGCGCGCAGCCTTTGACTTCGAATGTACTAATTCTGGGGGCATGTGACCCGCTCTCCTCGCCTTCCCCGTTGCACAATTGTGTTGGAAAGTGGCTTCTATACCACAGCCAACACAATACCGCTCCACTCCACATATGTTTCGGGGTATTCCTAAGGTAGGAGGAGGAGACGGTTACAAAAGTAGGCTTGGACAGGAGTGGGAGGTGGGGGGGTAAAGCGCACAAAAAGGAAAGAACCGAGGGGGTGATGGGGGTGTACCGGGGTTGGCTGCGTGTGTGTGGGGGGGGGGGGGGCGAGCGACAGTGGGAGAGGAGAGGGTGGTGGTGGGGGGCGAGCGAGCGAGCGAGTTGGGGGCGCCAGGCTGCCCAGATGCTCAGCAAAGGGAAGGGCTCTTGGCAGCTGTCAAGCCTCGCCTTGCTGGCACACAGTCAAGTCTTCACGGAGCACATGCTCCCGCCATGTGCTTCGAATTTTCACATCACATCGCGAAGGTTCGGGTCGCAACAACTTGCGTCGCACTCGCGGGCTTTAAAGTGTAGCCGCGGCCTGGCCGTTACACCAATAATGATCATGTTCCGCGCCCGAGAAAGCAAGGTCTGTGCGGTGGGGAAGGGAAGGGGGGAGGCGGAGAGGCAGGAGGTTGAGAGAATAGAAGTAAATAAATATTTAGTGAATTTAAAAAGACGTCCAAAGCGTGTTACTGAATTACCGCGACGGTGCAAACCGCCGCCGCCCGTTATTCTTCATCTTCGCCTGATGTAGGTGCCGAGCAACAACCACAATGCCACATTCAGGTGGTCAAGTCAGACACCCGCGCCGGGGGCAGCGGGGTGCATCTCTCTGATGTCGCCTTCATGTTTGTGGATCGGGCATTGCGTCGTCACACGTTGTACGGTCGGTTCTGGATGGCCACAGTGGCGCACTGTAGAGTTTTTAATTTCCCATTTGTGTATCAAGTATCCGCATCTGCCATAGTTTGTGCAGATGCGGTCTAGTCTAGACCATGAGCTTCATGGAATATCAAAACCAGGGATCTTCTGCGTTGGGTATTTCAAGAGGTTTTTTTTTTGTTTGTGAGTTCTTTTGATCTCCATTGAGCTTTCCAAGCTTCATCACGGTGGGTCCCAGACGTTGTTCCATATCGCCACAATGACACTCCTTCGTGGGCTGGCTTGGCCCACTTGAGATTTTTAGTCCATTCCCACGGAGTTCAGCGTTGCCCTGTTTAACAGAAGAGCATTTGTGGAAAAGGCAAAATATTACATGGCAAAGACAGAGAACCCTCGTTTCGCCATAACAAACTGCTTCTGTTAACGAGTACCTATAAAGGCCAGCACGGTAGGTGGCAAGAACTATGCCCGTCTGTCGTTCTCTTCCCAGTGGCGATGTTTACACATCGCACTAGGTACTCATTTGAGGCTGAATCGACCTAGGGGAGGCCCAGGACCGGTTCAGATATTCGTCGCTGGTGTTCGCCGTGAGCGGGAATCGAACCCGGGTCGCCAGGTTCGTAAGGCAGCGTAGCGCTAACCACTGCACTACCGCTCCCCACTCTATGGCACACACACGCACGACGTATTATTCTACTTTCGAAACTGTTCCCGGAGAGTTAGGCAAGGACGAACGTACACGTCATCTCCGCGGTGTCACTAGAATTCATTCCGTCAAGCTGCCTTCGATTCGCAAATCCACACTCACGGTCATCCGCACAACGGACGCACAGCTGACACCTTGGCCAAGCGCGCACGTGTGCGCACGCGCGCGTTATCCAGAATCCATCTCGGAGGTACCAGCCTGGAAGTGATTATACATTTGGCCAGGGGGTCGGGGAAGGTGAGGGTTAGGGTTGATGAAATTCTCCCCTGATCAGAGGCAGTGCGGAGGAAGTAGTGTGGGTATGGCCGTGGACTCATTTGATCGGGTGAGCTGAATTTCATTCTATGCTGACAAAGCTTTCACGCTTAAAAAAAAAACCCTCCACACTCCCCCCTTTGACCTCTGGCTGCCATCCGGCGATGACTCTATGGCAACGCATCGTTGTCT